TATCCTCTGTTTATCACACAGCAAAGTGAAGATTCTAAACGGGTTACTGGACGAGATGGGCGAGCATCAACAAGGGCAAACCTGACAAAATTCAACAATGATATCGTATGAAAATTGCAGCTGTTAGAAATCTACACCTTCACTAGAACAAGGATGATTCATCACTGTGGGAGTAATTACACCAGTAGAGCTGCCGGTAACTAGTTCAAAACAATAACGAATTCGATGCAACAACTATCTTCACTACTTCTATTCCAAAATTCGACGCCTTTCCAGGCTAGCGGTTACAGCTCGAACTTCCACAACATTTATCCAGATCCAGCTCCAACTCTTCCATAAGGTCGTGCTTGGCTGGCTCCTTTGGCTGAATAGGCAAGAATTGAGGTGCACTTGAAAGATGATAGGGTAGCAATCTCACCGGTACAGGTGTTTCTAATTGATGTTGGCTGTTCCAGAGCTGCGCATACAACCCGTCACGTCGCATAAGTTCATCATGCGAACCGAACTCTTTGACTTGGCCTCGGTCCAATACGTAAATTATATCGGCATCATATATGGTAGCTAATCGATGAGCGATGAACAGAGAGGTTCTGAAAACATTTTCTAGACTGCCTTACTCAAATGAGTTCTTAAAACATCGAACCTCTTTTGAATTGCCTCTTTTAATGATCTCATAATGTTAGCCTCTGTGATAGCATCCAATGATGACGTAGCCTCGTCGTAAACGATCAGAGGAGCATTCTATAGTTAAAATATTTGCCTATTAGATATTAGAATATTAAATATTTTTCCTCCAATAATCTCTATGTCGTCCTTCCTTCAACCTCGACATGATGTGGAATTCATTTTTACTTCTGCCAACAAGGCTGCTAGATGGAAACCTTTATTAGCCCGACGTTTCGACTTTTTTGCCTCCTTCAAGGACGAGTAAACGGCTGGAGGCTTCTATTAGGTCATCCCATTCAAAAGTGCCGTCGGTTTTTTCGAATAAAACAAAGAGGAGAATAGATAAAAAAGTAATATTTTGGCTTCCAAGTTAAGTAAATCCCTCCTTCACCAATGACCCGCTCCCAGTGCCCCGAAAGCCTTTGGACCTCTGGTACCTTCGTTAAGCGAGTAAATTGCTGTTGATGCCAATTTCGGCGAATGACAAAACATTGTAGCGTTTGCCGTCGGAGAGTACTCTCGACTGACGAGAACAATTGGAATCGCTCGGCTTTATGTCGGGCGAATGGGGCGATTGAACCCAGGTCTCAGTATTGTTTGTGTCCCAGCACTGCCCTACAATACAGTTACTCGGGGTCTGGCACTATGACGAGCAACGGTGGCCTTCTTGTAGTTGTGTGGTATCATCCATTTGTCGATCTGATTGCCGAGGAACAGGCAATATACACCGACAGCGACGATTTTATTTTCTGTATAGAGCCGCCTAAAAGCCTCAGTGTAGGAATCCTTCGCTATGATGATCATCCACTTGCGCCCACGTAACCCCATGGTAGAACTCGGGCGGCTTCTCATCTGCATTCATACAAAATTGACGATTGTGAGTTTTGGCTCGAGGTCCAAGACCACCCATATTTCATCTAGGGCCGGGGTGCGTTTTCACAGTCGTGAATGACATCTCATGCTGAGAACATTACTGCTAGAGGCATAGAATCGGTACTGCGTTCGTGCTTCTACAAGAAAATTAGGTACCCATGCGCACACCCTCTTGACCATCCTCAGTTTATCGGACGGACATAACTCGGGCAGCAGTTGCAGCTGGGATGTCAGACTCGCGGGGAAGCTCGACAAAGGTCCAGGCTCTGGGATCAGACATTCAGCGCTTGACTTCATCCACCCTTTTTTCTTGTGCAGGATGAACATTATGGGACCATCCACGACAACAAATTTTTTCCTTTCTTCCTTCTTCGGGCTCCTGAACCAAACCTTCCACCTTGTATTTCGAGAACACCATTACACACAACTACTGGTCCGGCGCCGGTCGAATTTGAGCAGCGCACTTCCCTCTTATGACGTCTGATTTGAAAATCGGGCGCTGATTTTCACCACTCGGGCTTCTTTTCAATTTCTCGAGAGCTTCCTTCTGTGGGTAGGTTCGCCAAATTTCACAGATACACAGCTGAAGGTACTAGCCTCCAAATGGTATAGTAGCCCGCTTCCCTATCCCCTTTGCTTTTCTGCCATTCCTCTATATGTCACGGCACTTTTGAATGGGATGACCTAATAACCTGTAAGCTACCCGAGCACCATCTTCTCTCCAACGTTTCCGCCGTGCGTCAACAACACTCCAGAAAAACCCGGTAATGAGAATGATCAACCTACTGAAGGCTCCATCAAAGTGCCGCCGTTTCAGCGAGTGCGTTGCTCCCGCTGTCTCAGTAAGAACGAATGAGCCTACCTCGATTTTTAACGGGTCCTCACTATAACTCGCGTTTTGATACAAACGGCAGGGACTAATTTGTAATTTACAGACACTCGTTCCGGATGTCCAATCTTTTTCATGGGGGAACTCGTAGGCTTCCCTGGATGGACGTGAGCTATTGAAAGAGCGCGAAAGGACTGGGAGGCTATTCGTCATTATCAATGTTACTGAAGGAGCGTGAGCAACGCTCCGCATTTTGGTGGGAAATTTGGTGCAATGATCATTCTCATTACCGGATTAGTCTGAAGTGTTCCCGACACCACTTCGAGAAGAAGTGCTTGGTCGAGTGGCTAGTAAGTTAAAAGCTTCGAGCCCCTCCGGCCTCCGAAGGATACGAAAAGATCGAAAGGTCGGACCAAAAAAGATTGCCATCTAACAACCTTGTTTGGTAGGAGCAAAAAATTTGTGTTAAATTTATGAATATTGAAACATTGACTTTACAGTATGATCAGAGACAGTACCTTCAGAATCGCTCTTGCAATCGCTACTCGCTGCTTTTCCCCTCCAGATAATTTCAGTCCTCGTTCACCAACAATGGTACTATATCCCTAAATGCAGTGAGTAGGTATATATTGGGCGGATTAAAACGAAAAACGAGCTTACATTCGGCATGCTTTCAACTGAATAGTGAAGGTCAGCCAGTTTGGCAGCTTGGTAAACCTCTTCAGTGGAGGCCTTGGGGTTTCCGTAAGCCAGATTGTAGAAGATTGTGTCGTGGAACAAAACGGAATCCTTTAGCAAAAGGAAAGTACACTTTTAAAACTAGTTCTTTATGTTCTCAGATGAAGTACGCTCCCTCACCTGTGGTACAACTGAAATCACTTTTCTAAGAGATTCGAGCGTAAGATCATGAATATCTTCGCCATTTATAGTGATTGTGCCCTTTTCAGCGTCATACAGCCGATACAATAAACGTACAAGTGTCGATTTTCTGCAAGTGAAGGGAATTTGGCTTACGCCCCATGCATCGCCCATACTGGAGGGCAACTAGAAGCTTTGCGGTCACAGCTGCGTACTCCCCTTTCTTAACAAATGCTCCTGTTTCTTTGTCGTCTGGGCCCTCGCCGCTGTCACAATTACGCCTCTTTTTGCCTTCAGATATGGACTGCACCTATTTGATGAGAAGGGTGACTTAAAAAAATAAAAGATACCCCGAACCAGAGCCTCCTACTATTGCGACCTTTTTGCCCGCAGGGATTTCCATGCTGAGACCATTGAGGATGGGTTTTCCAGGTAAGTATCCGAAATGAACATCTTTTATCTGAAAACGCACATAACTATTATGAAAAGGGTAAACAAGATATTTGCCATTATACCTGAACGCTTATGTCATTTCCGTGGACAGTGAGCACTTTTGCGTTGGGCTTCTCCTTTATCTGCGATTTCAGATTAAGGAGTGAAAACATAGCGTTCATGTCAACGAGACCTTGACGAACCTCCCGATAAACAGAACCTAAATAGACCGGACTACGCATCAATAAAATCAGAGTGTCAGACTAAAATGCACCTAGGAAATTGAGAGGCATCGAAAGCTGAAAAAGCAAAGTGTTCGCTAGGACTAGATCTCCGACCGTAGCTTCACCTGAACAAAATCACGATAGGGAATACAAAGCAGTAAAATGCAAGTAAACTTACGTACCATTAGCTATTTTGTTTGCTGCGAGATACATGACCCCGATGAGACCCGCAGAGAATATTGCATTCTGTGTGAAATTCAGTAAGGCAAGAGATGACGTGGTCTTCAGAGATGCGTGTTCAAATTTCTTCAGGAAATAGTCGTAGCGGTCCGCTTCAAACTTCTCGTTGTTGAAATACTGAAGAGGAAAGATCAAAAATCAACACACCCACTCGAAAAAAACACACCTTTTGTTATTTCTATGGTACCAAATACACATTCATTACATGCAAGCTGTATCGTCATTCTAACTCTCTGGCCTCTGTGGGCTTTATAGGCGGGAAGGGGGAAAGGACTTCTGATGCCATCTTTTCGTTGTGATGAGCTCACTCACTTCACTTGGTCGGGCTCATTTCGATATGATTAAATTCATAATTCATGTTTCAAAAACATAAACTGGTCGCGCTGCAGCTCGGAAATGGAAAAAGAAAACGCGCAAAAGTCAGCACGGGGTCAAAACGGGGGAGAAACATGGCAGGCGAGGCGTAAAAACAAAAAAAAAACGAAACATTAAAAATTACATCCCTCTCCTGGGACCGGAGAAAAATGAGTGAAGAAGCGGAACTTCTAGGGGGACATGCGCATGTCTGAGATGTGCTGAGACCCGCTCACAGTGGGGGAGCGTGCCCTGAAGCGTAGGTACACATTTAGGAATTCTCTAACCCGATTCTCGGATCGTGAAAGATAACGTCGGGGGCTCTCCTCCTTCTCCGTTCCACCTACCATCTTCCTGAATTTCCCAACGTCCTACAATTCCTCTAGGGGTTGGTGGGGTGACAGACAGCGCACGGCAAGCAGGAGAAACCGATTAAAAAAACGAATGAGTACATTTTTTTCTGGAACAAATACGACCTCT